ACGCCGCCACCGCAGTTTGTCCTTCATGAGCCTTCGTAGACAAGATGGCGGTGCAAGATGGCAGCTGCCTGTAATGGCAACCCGTGACCACGGAGATACAAACAGCTTTTTATAAGGTAAAAATAATAAAACAAGGTCTTTGTCTGCAATGATTAGACGTGTTTTTTATTATTGTCATTAGTGATTATCTCAATTTCAGCTAAAAGAATTGACAAAATCCTACACACTGTGCCTTTAACTGAGTACACCTGCATTCAGCTCCAGTGATAGAGCTGTCTGAGTCTCCCCTGGTAACACCGTTATGTAATCCCCATCTGTATTTAGTTTAAGTTTTCATGGATGTGCAGTTAAGGTTTTGGACTACCAGTTTTGAGTTAAAGCTTTGCTCCCAATACTCCAAATCAAACAACTCACTGTAAGCTCACTAAGTGCTAAAAGTCCCCCTTTTTTTCCCAAACAAGAATCAGGCATGTTGACGCCGCATGGTGGGAAAACAGCTCGGCAGTTCAACTTATGTAATCAGGCTKCTTATTTGAGGTTATTATAGTAGCTACAGCTGCAACAGCTAAACATGGTGCACTTAAACCTTTCAGAGCTAAAACCTGTGTTTCAAAAAGCATCTTAGAAGGCTATTTCATTCTCTAGCATGAAGCTGTTCACCAGCAGCCTTCAATCCTCTGCTTCTGAAGACTTAAAACATAAAAAAGAAACCCTGCTGTAAAATGTGTTTACTTGAAAAAAATATTGCCTCAGACTATGACAAAGCACTTTTGTCAGACCTCCATGGATAAAGGCATCAAATCTGAATGAGTCAACAGTTTTTGGGATTTTTAATCAAACGACACAAGCTAAAAGTGAGAGAACATTCTGATAAGAGCTGTTTCATTTATGTCTGTTAAACATGTCCTTCACAGCAAAAATAAAATAAAATAAAATAATTCCCCTCCCCAGAGAAATACAAYGGATTTACGAATGAGAATCCCAATCACATATTGACGATTGGTAGTTGAAAATGAACAACGCTGTTAGAATATACTCAATAAAAACAAGAAGGTAAAGAAACTTTCATGTGCAGTTTTATCCGGCRCTATGAAATAATACCAAAGCCCAAACAATCGGTTTTACTCTGGCTTCATGGGAAAATGCATTCAATCAATCAACTAAGTGAACTGAAGAGATGGGGATGAGAGAAACGATGGGAATAAACAAGGCATAATTACAGTTGTTGTTTTAATCCATCTGGGAAGAGGATATTATGAAGACCATAATGACTGCAGTGGTGCTTTTGATTGTTACAGTGTGAATTGGTCATGGTGATATCTATCACTGTACCGTGATATGAAAACGACAGTAATTAACACAAGTGCATTGCTCATTAGAATACACATTTATTTAACTAATAAGAAACAGTTTAAGGAGATGCTGTTAGGTTAAGTGTTTCCTTATGTTTACAGGATAACTGGTTGGTTCCTGAATGTCTGATGAAGAAGAGTTTCTACTGTTTTGACCAWTAATGTCCAAGAAACCAATGACTCACTTGCACTCATGACCAATGTGCTTCCTCTGCCTTTTCAAAACTATTAAAAAAACTCACAAACCCCTGGGATTTTGCAAAGATGTTAGCTCACACTCCTACTCAAGCATTGTAATTATTTATGCATTATTTACCGACAGTGTGAGAGGAGGGCTGCAATGAGAGCTACTATGTGTGCAGAATGTGAATTTGAATTCCCGTCTATAATAGAAATTCATATTATTGGATTAATGATTTTTTTGTAACTTTGTTGTTCTTGAAATTGATGGCAGTATTATGGGTATAGAGATTTCAGTTCTAAAACATTTCAAATAACTGATAAACTCCCAACCTTTTTAATAAAGGTGCACCAATTTATCTTCAAGTCAGAGCAGTTATGGGATTTACTGAGCCTTAAATTTATTTTAATGAGTTAAATGTCATGTATGTCTAATTACACATAATTCTAACATGCTTTCTTTTTGATATACTTTCACAAAGTACAGTTGATAAGCTACATATAACATTAAATTTGTAACTTTCTAAGAAAAAACCTCTCCATGCCATTAAYGAGTACAATACGATGCATTTTAACAGGTGTGTAATAATATACTTCTCCACAATATTACATCAAAGCAAAACCAAACATTGATCCATTTGTTTAAAGGGGCAATATCTTTCAAAATCAACTTTTTTGAGTTTTATATCATGTTATAATGTTATACTC